GGCCAGGAGCGGCCACTGCACTCCAGTGTGGGTGACAGAGTGCGACTCCAACTCAAAACAAAAAAAACAAAAAAAGCCACCCAAAACAAAAAAGTAAAGATTTCTATTTAGAAATCTGTAAGTACATAGAAAAGTAAAGCTACACACACACACACACACACACACACACACACACACACACACACACACACACCCCATTCTAACAAATTTTCCTCTGGAGGTGGCACTGGAATTAATAAAAAAGGTCAAGAAGGAATTTTGTTTTAGCAATACCAGAATGAAAGATATGACAGCAAGACTTTTCACTATACACATTTTCTGTTAATCTTTTTGCATGTTATGAAGTATTTATTTATCTAATGTATATTATGACAAATTTCATACATACATAAGAGAGAATATTATAATGAACTCCTTAAGAACTTATCACTCAGCTTCAACAGCCAACATACATGGCTAGTATGTTTTCACATATACCCCTACCACTTTCCTATCACCACTACTGGGTTAATTCAAAGCAAATCCTGACTTTCATATCTTTTATATGTGTGTATTTTTATATATGTATACATTTATATTGTGTGACTTTAAAAAAACATAAGAATGATCATTTGGTCAAAAAAATTAATTTCAAAAAAGGAACAAGGTTGGGCACGGTGGCTCAAGCCTGTAATCCCAGCACTATGGGAGGCCAAGGCGAGAAGATTGCCTGAGCTCAGGGGTTTGAAACCAGTCTGGGCAACTTGGTGAGATGTCACCTCTACAATAAATCAAAAAATTAGCTGGGCGTGATAGCATGTACCTGTAGTTCTAGCTACTTGGAAGCCTGAAGTGGAAGGATTGCATGAGCCCAGAAGGTCAAGGCTGTGGTGGCCGTCAGCATGCCACTGCACTGCAGCCTGGTTGACAGAATGTGACTACAACTCAAAAACAAAAACAAAATGAACAAAACTAAAAGGTTAAACAACAAAGCAATGAGGAAAAAACTGCAATATATGTACAAAGAGTTGATATCCTTTATAGATGAAGAGCTCTTTAAATCAAGAAAAAAGATAGGTTTAAAGAACTAGGCTAAAATATAAAGAAGAAATACAATAGCCAACCAATACATTAAAATGTTCAACCCAACAAAAATATAAATTAAAATGGGAATCCATTTCTCACCTATCCCAGTGGAAAATATTATTGAGCACTGCTATGGAATGTAAACTGGTTCAGCCTTTATAGATGACAGAATGAAAATATGAATGAAAAGTCTTGAAAATGAACATATTGCTTTTGTCCTAATAATTCCATTTTATGAAATCTGTTCTAAGAAACCACTCAGCATGAGACAATGCACATATATAGCACTATTGATAACAGCAAAAGTGAGAAATAAAATATTGAACAATAGGGGATTGGATTAAAGCCTAGCATATCTATAAAACGGAATATGATATAGATAACAATTCATATAAGAATAACTCTTAACATGAGAAAAGGTTCACTAATTGTTAACTGAAAAATCCAAGCTACAAAAACAAGACATACATTTGGTAGCATAATTTAACAATTTCCTGAATTGAATCACCACCGGATTCAATTTAAGCAAATTGTTAACTTAAGCAAATTGTTAACACTGATAAATCATTTGTTTTAGAAGCAGCTCTTTTTTCTCTCAACCAAACAGTTATTTGGTACCATACTCAGCTGCTAGTGGGATCTGGATACAAAGGTTTAACTCATGCTAATCTGGACAAGTCAAGGCAGAGATTCTGACTTTGAGATTTAACAGACACTCCCTCCAGAGGGCTGTTGATGTTTCTGCTACTTTCAGATGACCCTTGCTTTCAGTTATAGGGCTGTGTGATTCCTAGTGGCCTCTGAAGAAAGAGAAACCTTTTTGGGTGAAGACTGAGATTCTGATTCGACCGCATCTGGAGCAGTGTCTGCTGAAATCACCGAAGCACTACATTCGGGTTTAATTTCTTCTCTTTCTTTTGTACTGGGGATTTTTCCTTCACTTCTTTCTTTTTACTTTCTTTACTTTTTCTCACAGGGAAGTCCTCGTCTTTACCTTCACCCTCACTACAATCAGAATCACACTCAGAATCTTTACCAGTTACAAATTCTGGATCGTCGTCATTAGCACTATCACAATCACTGCCTTTCAGAAGAATCTGTCTTCGCTGTACTGCAGCTTTAGATGCTGCTTTTCTTTTCCCTTCACTCCATGAACATCAAATTCCTCGTTTATCTTATCCAGATCTAAATGATCGGTGGCTACATTGCAATCAGAGAAACAAGGAAATTTATTCATTGTTTCTATTTTACTATTGTCATGGTTATCAGTGCTTTTATCTTGAGGTTTCTGCACATCTGTTGGAAGTTTCTTCATGGATAAAGGTAATACAACTACTATCTCTCTGATAGAGCTTGTCATTAAAGATGTCCTCTTTGGGGGTTGCTTTTGTAGTGGGATGTCTTCTTTCTGGAGATTCAAGTTAGATTTTGGTTTGTCTTGTTTCAATTCCTTTGATGTTTTTCTGGATTTCTTGTTTAAAGATACAGTTGCAGAAACAAAATCATCATTACTTGTCACAGTCTTCAAACTGTGAGCAATTGAATGGTTTCTTATGTCTCATTGGCCGCACCATCGTCCCCACCAGGCTGGAAATTTACAGCTCTCATGTTCTTACTGGCTGCAGTGGCAGTTTCAATTCCTGCTCTAAAACAGACACTGACACCTCTGCCCTAGTCTTTAATTGTTGCCAGCTACGCAGGCAGCAGGGCACACACTCTGAGGACAGCATCTGCTCACCCATCTCATGGCACTGCTCTCTAAAAGCAGCTCTTTCATAGACGTATTATTTACTGTGGTTTTCCTTTTTTTTTTGAGTTGGAGTCTCACTCTGTCACCCAGACTGGAGTGCAGTGGCTGCTCCCGGTCACTGCAGCCTCGACCTGCTGGGCTCCGGCGATCCTTCCACCTCAGCCTTCCAAGTAGCTGAAACTACAGGCCCGCGCTACCACGCCCGACTAATTTTTTTGATTTATTGTAGAGATGAGGTCTCACCAAGTTGCCCAGGCGGGTCTCAAACCCGCGGGCTCAGGCAATCCACTCACCTCAGCCTCCCAAAGCCCTGGGATTACAGACTGAGCCACAAAGCCCAGCTAGTTTTCCTTTTATTAAATACTTAATGTCATTTATACTGTTTATTCTTCTGATTCATATTTCTAATGAGACCTTGATCTCACCAAACCATATCTGGCTGATTTAGCAGATTTTGTTACTTTAAGAAATTCACTCCCATGGTTGATGACAAATGGAGTTAAACATCAAGTGTATCCATGTCCAGGCGCAGTGGAGTGGCTCCCACCTATAATCCCAGCATTTTGAGAAGCCAAGGAGGAAAGATTGCTTGAGTTCAGGAGTTCGAGACCAACCTGGGCAACATATCAAGATCTTGTTCCTAAAAATATAAAAAATTAGCTAGGCATGATGGCACACATCTATAGTCCTAGCTACTCAGGAGGCTGAGGTGGTAGGATCGCCTGAGTATAAGAGGTTGAGGCTGCTGTGAGCCATGATCGTGCCACTGTACTCCAACCTGGGCAAAGTGAGATTCAATAAATAAACAAACAAACTGTATCCCACTTAGTCTTCCTTACTAGTTTTTCTCCCCTCTAACCTATCTAGCACAAAGCTTCCTTTCCTGAGTTATAACTCAAACAATCCATTAGCTTAACATTCAAGGCCTTCTATAGTTTGATCCCAATTTAACTTTCTAATTGTAAAATATGCTCTTCTCAAAATCTATTCAAGTCTTTTTCATCCTTGCTTGTAAACTTTAACTCACACTATTCTTTTTCTCAAAGTACCTTCCTTAATTCCCTAACAACCATTATACTATTTATTCACCTAAACTCTATGTCAGGGCTCTCCAACCCCCAGGCCACTAACTGGTCAGTGGCCCATTAGGAACCGGGCTGCACAGCTGGGGGTGAGGAGCAAGTACAGCTGCTTCCCATCACTCACATTAACACCTGAGCTCTGCCGCCTGTCAGATAAGCACTGAAAAGCCTGCTTCCATTTCCAACATCCTATCTTTGTGAAGCAAGGTTTTCTGCGGGGACAGCAACCAAAATGAAGATTACAGAGTAGACTGGACATAAGCAACACACTTTGGGTGTCACTGTCTTCCATCACCTCCAGATGGGACCGTCTAGTTGCAGGAAAACAAGTTCAGGGTTCCCACTGATTCTGCATTATGGTGAATTGTATAATTAGTTCTTTACATATGACAATGTAATAGTAATAGAAATAAAGTGCACGATAAATATAATGCACTTGAATCATCCTGAAACCATCTCTCGCCCCGGTCCATAGAAAAATTGTTTTCCACAAAACCGGTCCCTGATGTCAAAAAGGTTGGGGACCACTGCTATGTTTACTCTTTTTTAAAAAATTTTTAAGGCTAGTCAAGTGAAGAGACAGGAGTGTTGAAAAGGAACAAAGACATTTGTAACTGGTTATGATTAATTAGTGATCAATTAGTTGTAAACATCATTGCACTCAGAAATTTTTTTAAGTGTCCATACTTTTTTTTTTTTTGAGTCAGAGTCTCATTTTGTCACCCAGGTTGGAGTGCAGTGTGCAGTGGCACGATCACAGCTCACCACAGCCTCAACCACCTGGGTCAGGCGATCTTTTCACCTCATCCTCCTGAATAGCTGGGACTATAAGTACATGCCACCACATCTGGTGAGTTTTTTTGTTTTGTTTTTGTAGAGACAAGGTTTCACTATGTTGCCCAGGCTGGCCTCAAACTCCTGGACTTAAGCAATCCTCTTGCCTTAGCCTCCCAAAGTGCTGGGATACAGGTGTGAGTCACTGCACCCAGTCCATTCTTTAAAACATTACTCATATCCCATCTCCTCTGCATGTCTTGAACTTTTAACAGCATTCATTTATTTCACCATTCATCAGCATATGACCATATTACATACCATTTTATGTATCTGTCTTATTTCCCCATGCAAAGGGTAATCACTCTAAAGGCAGGCCCCTCAGCTTATATACCACCTTTGATATTACTTAACATAATAACTAGTAATTCAAACATTAATGATATTAATTAATTAAGTTCTACCTTTTGAGATGAAGCCATTTCAAAGCAATTGCCTAAGTTCAGCAATTGGTAAGCAATTAGAGCCAATGTAGAATCAATGAAGCTAACATCACTATTGAGAATGCCAAAAAAGTCACAGTTTTAATGCATGTAATGGTGAACCAGTTTGTTTTTGGAGTCAGAGTCTTACTCTGTTGCCTAGGCTGGAATGCAATGGCATGCTCACAGACCGCAGCCTTGACCTGCTGGGCTCAGGTGATCCTTCTGCCTCAGTCTTCCAAGTGGTTGGAACCACAGGCCCATGCCACCATGTCCGACTAATTTTTTTTATTTACTGTAGAGACGAGGTCTCGCCAAGTAGCCCACACTGATCTTGAACCCTTGGGCTCAGGGGATCCTCCCGCCTTTGCCTCCCAAAGTGCTGCTGGGATTATACAAGTCAGCCACCGTGCTGGGCCTGAACCAGTTTTTAAAAAGCCTTTTTCGACATGCAAGCAGAAATAGTGTTATCCTTTACTAGTTTTGATTGTATGAGAGAGAAAAACCACTACTGATGGTTATCAAAACCAAGAATGATACTACTCCAAGAGTAGTTTTTATTAATCACATGTTAAATATTAAACTGAATATCTATTTCATGAATAAATACAACTGGAAAAAAAAGAAAAAACTGCTAAGCCATACTGCCTAGTTATCTGCAGGAACACTAAGATACAAGTTTAAACTGAATTTCATCCATTTCTTTTGACTCTCCAAAGTACAACTCTATAATATAAACAAAACTCAAATGACACATACCTGTGAACCCTCTGATCACACCTTAGGACAATGAGAGGATCTATCATTAGGTCATTCTGAGTATACTTTTGTTGTCGTACAAACTTTATTGAAGGCTGAAGCGCATTAACTGTCATTACCCACAGTCTGATAAGAAAAAAATCACATGTGTAAAACAGCTATATTATAATTGAAATATATACCCATCTGTACCTGTATCTATCTTAGAAAGTTACTTTCAGCAAAAATTACAAAGCACGTGCGAATGAACTTTGAAGAATTAAAACCTGTAGACATCTAACCTATTATTATATCTCTAAAACAAATAAATAAAACAATAAAAACAAAGTAGTCTCAAACATTTTTACCATTGTAATAGAATAACCATAGCACATATATTAAAACTGGAATTAAAACCTGAGTTATACCATACTTGCTATGTGACTCTCAATAAGTCATGGAGACTCTCTCTGAACAGTTTCCTCATCTGTAAAATAGGAATACTATAAAATCTATAAGTGAAATAATACTTACCAAAACACTTTGGACCTGGCTCCATAAATATAAGCAATTATTCTACATTTTTCATCATAAAGTTTCAACATGAGGTGCTACTCTGAGATTAGATATTCATAGATTATAAAAGTGTTTACTGAACGGACTACACTTCATAATTACTGAGGGATATGCCAACATGGAGGGCACTTGCTCTCTGACAGTGAAGCTCAGGAATCCACCAGCCCTAACTCACACACAGAACTTCCCCCTCTTAAATATGAGTGGACAAACAAGGATTATCAGACATTTAAAGAAAGCTTTCACTTTGAAAAAGATTAAAATATACAAACAGAAAAAAAGGAACTCCAAAACACAGAAAATGTAGGAATCAGAAGAAATACTTTACTATTATTAATATTCTTAAAGAATAAAATATTTCATACATGAAACAAGAACAAGAGGCATCTTAAAATATTCAAGTAAGAAAGAGCTCTTAGAAACTAAGAATACAACAGAAATTTAAAACTTCAAAAGAAAGGTCAGAAGATAACATTGAGGACATATCTAGAAAGTATACTAAAAAGATAGAGGAGGAAAAAAAAGAGAAAATCAGAGAATAAGTCCAAGAGGTTTATAATCCAAATTCTAAAAAAAATATTAGAAAACAGAGGGAAATTATTGAAGAAAGAAAATGTCTTGGAAATGAAGGCATTACTCTCCAGACTAAGAAGGCTAACCAAGTGCCCAGCACAATTAATAAAAAAGGCCCAGACCAAAATATATCATCTTGAAATTCCAGAAAACAGTGAGGGGAAAAAAAACTCAAAAGCCTTTTCAGAGAGAAAACACAATGCTCACATACAAAGAGTTGGAAAATGATACAACGCTAAAATACTAATTGAAAAAAATGGAAGCTCTAATTCAGTAAACAGTGTCTTCAGATTTCTGAGAGCAAAAGTGAACTAAAATTCTATACTTAGTCTAAATATCAGTCATATGTGAGAAAAATACAGAGTCTCAAACGAATTAAGTTTCCCACACACATTTTGCAGGAAGCAACTTCAATGTGTGTTTCACTCACTAAAATGAGGACATACACCAAGAGTGAGAAAAGACAGAATCCAAAAAAGATAAGATAACTGCAATTCTAGGATGGCAACTATGTATGTCCCAGATGGAAACATGAAGATGGAAAGCTCTGAAAGGAATGTCTCCAAGAAAAAAATGTTAATGATATATTACTTGATGTGTTATATCTAAGTGTAATATTAATTTTCCCTCAATAATGAAGTCTGAAGATCAGTTAATTAGTTATTGATCCAAAAAAAACCCTGAGTGAATAGGAAAAAAAAGCAAGCATTAACTCACTCAGGATATGGGTTGAATGTAGGGGAAGGTACTCATGTAATTTTTTTTTTTGGCTAATTTTTTTTTTTTAATTGTAGAGACAAGGTCTCGCCAAGTTGCTGGGCCGGTCTCGAACTCACAGTTTCAGGCAATCCACTCACCTTGGCCTCCCAAAGTGCTGGGATTGCAGGCTGAGTCACTGAACCCAGCCATAAGAATAACATTGTAATCAAAAGATATAACATAGCTAAACTATAAATATCACTTCTTTAGTCATAATAATATGCATACTAAATAACATTTTAACCAAAGATTTCCATAATGCCTGTGTTGGGAGAAACAGGGGAGATGGGTATTGGAGGAAGTGAGACTCACAGGAGAAGAAGTGGGTAAGAGTGCTAAATCTTCATCTTATATAGAAGGAAATCAACAGACAATTTCTAAACTGGAAAACCAGAAAATTAGTTATTATAAGCATACTATTGAGTATATTGGAGGTATGTAAATGTCAAAATCAAAAGATAAAAGAGGCTGGGCTCGGTGGCTCAGCTTGTAATCCCAGCACTTTGGGTCGAGGCAAGTGGATTTCCTGAGCCCATGGGTTCGAGATCAGCCCAGGCAATTTTGCGGGCCCTCATCTCTACAGTAAATAAAAAAATTAGCCAGGCATGGTAGAGTGCACCTGTAGTTCTAGCTACTTGGAAGGCTGAGGCGGAACACCTGCCAGAGACCAGTAAGTTGACACTGGGGTGGCCGTGAGTGTGCCATTGCACTCCAGTCTGGGTGACAGAGTGAAACTTCAACTCAAAAAAAAAAAAAAAAAAAAAAGGAAGATAAAAGAGCTAAAAATAGTTGCCTCTGGGGAGCTAGAATCTAAAATAGAAAGGTGTGAGTTAAATTTTATATACTATTTACTTCAGCAATGTGCATTTATTTGACATAAGTAAAATTTAAATTTTGAAACTTATATTCCCAGACCCCACCCCAGACCTACTGAATCAAAATTTCAGTTAAGTCATGCCTAGCATTCTGGTTGCTAGAGCTGACCAGATGTTACTGATGTAACCTATGAACCAGCAGAGATACACTGACTAAAAAACCATTGACTAAATATTGTGGCACACTGGAATCATCTGGGTAATCTTAAAAAGTACAAATGCCTGACTCCCACCCAGACAATGTGATTTAATTGGCATGGGTTCCAACCTGGGGATCAGACATTTTCAAAGCTCTCCAGGTAACCTTAACGTGCAAGAAAATTTGGACCATTGTGATGATTCAAAACACTGTGATCTAAATCACAATTAGCCACAAATTACTATACATGAAAACCTTTTTTTTGTTGTTGAGATGGCACTCTGTCACCCAGGCTGGAGTACAGATTTATTGTAGAGATGAGGTCTCACCAAGTTGCCCAGGATGGTCTTGAACCCCAGGGCTCAGGCAATCCTCTTGGCTCTGCCTCCCAAAGTGCTGAGATTACAGGCATGAGCCATCACACCCAGCTGAAAGCTATCTTTTATTTTTATTTATTTATTTATTTATTTTGAGTCAGAGTCTCACACTGTCACCCAGGCTGGAGTGCAGTGGCATGCCCACGGCCACCGCAGCCTTGACTTGCCAGGTTCAGGAGAGCCTTCCAAGTACCTGGAATCACAGGTGAGCACCACCATGCCCAGCTAATTTTTTTGATTTATTGTAGACACGAGGTCTCATCATGTTGCTGACTGGTCTCAAACCCATGAGCCCAGTCAATCTTCTCACCTCTACCTCCCAAAGTGCTGGAAAACTTTCTCAAGTTGGGAATACTTTAAGGTTTCTCTCTATTTCTTGAATTTTTTTTTTGAGTTGGAGTCTCACTCTGTCGCCCAGGATGGAGTGCAGTGGCACACTGACAGCCACTGCAGCCTCAACCTGCTGGGCTCAGGCAATCCTTCCACCTCAGCCTTCCAAGTAGCTGGAACTACAGGCATGTGCCACCATGCAAGGCTAATTTCTTTGATTTATTGTAGACACAAGGTCTCACCATATTGCCCAGGCTGATCTCGAATCCCTGGACTCAGGCAATCCTCTCACCTCGGCCTCCCAAAATGCTGGAATTACAGACTTAAGGCACTGCACCCAGCCTCTCTCTATTTCTTAAGATAAATATATATTATTTTCCTTTAAGACATAAATAACAATTCTTTAATTCAAAGTCTTCAGAAAGGAGTTATATTGCCACATAATAGATAATGATATATGTGGTCTTATAAAAAATTTTTTCAACAATCAAGTTTAGGTTATTATATATTATCATTGCTATACATTCAGCTATTACATGTAACAGTACACTGAATTACCTTCTAGGCATCACAGTATTAAGAACCATCCATAGTTTATTGACTGTTTGAAGAATTCGCCGTGGAACCCCTGAATTCAACAGCTGGTTCATATTGGATGTTAACACTTCCGCATATGGTATAAGTTCACTGGCAGAGAGCAGAGTCAAGTGTTCTATAATCTGCATCACTTGTGTGTGACTAACTGGGACAGCTGAAAATGCTAAAAAGAAAATTTAGCAATCATAATCTAAATTCCATAAAGTTTACCAATCAGGAAATAATATCATTCTCTCAGACTGCAAACCAAACAAATCAATAAAACAATATTGCTTTAGAAAGTAACTATAGGCTCAGGCCTATAATCCCAGGCAGGAAGCCAAGATGCAAGGATCACCTGAGCCCTGAGGTCTGGTCTGCACTGAGCAGTGATCATGCTACTGCACTCTATCCTAGGCAACAGAGTGAGACCCCAACTCAGAAAAAAAGAAGTAACTATAATTACTACCTATAGACTCTTATAGAAATCTAACTATAATTTCAACTAAACTTTATTAAAATAAAAGCCTTAAGAAAAATTCATGAAAGTGAAAGTTAAGTTGTTCTTTCATGAAGAATAAAAATATTTCATTTTAAAAATCACATTAATGGCCGGGCTTGGTGGCTCAGCCTGCAATCCCGCGCCTTTGGGAGGCTGAGGTGAGTGGACTGCCTGAGTCCGCAGGTTCGAGACCCGCGTGGGCAGCGAGACTTCATCTCTACAATAAATTTTTTAAAAAATCAGCTGGGTATGGTAGCGCGCCTGTAGTCCTGGCTACTGGGAAGGCTGAGGCGGAAGGATCGCCGGAGCTCAGCAGGTCGAGGCTGCGGTGGCCGGGAGCGGCCACTGCACTCCAGTCTGGGTGACAGAGTGAGACTCCAACTCAAAAAAAAAAAACAAAAAAAATCACATTAGTGTCCCAAAACCAAATCTCATTTTCTTGTTGATTCAGACTGATTTTAAAAACAGGATAATACAGCAAAGTATTGTTTTTGGTAGCTAACATTCACTTGAAAGGCTAAAACTTCTTGATCCTTTCCTCCAGGTGGCCTTCTTTATAGGATGTAAGCACCCAGAAGATTACTGTTACTAAAAAATATCTAACTGTGCTATCCGATAAAGAAGTAAGTAACCACATCTGGCTATTAAGTACCTGAGATGTAACTAGCCCAAATTGAGTTGTGCTGTGAGTGCAAAATACAAACCAGGTTGCAAAGACTTAGTGGGGGTGGGGGAGGAGTAAAATATGGATTAATAATTTTTATACTGATTACATGATGAAATAATATTGGCTACCTTTTATTAAATAAAATGATTATTAAAATTAATTTTGCTTGTTTCTTTTTACATTTTTAATGTGGTTACCAGAAAGTTTATACATGTGTGACTCACATTGTATTTCTATTTAACAAGGCTGATTTCTGTTTCCAGGCTGATCTGGAACATTATCCACTAACACCAAGTATATTGCCCTATTCCACTGCACTTATTTCTAACCAGTTTAGTACCTTCCTAAAGCCACACTACTTTTTTAGTGATGTAACATAGGACCTATGAGAGGAAAGATACAAGCCTGTCCGAAAGAAATGGTTAAAATGACTTAAACTCAAAGAGAAGCACTTAAAACATATTCACCAAAACATGGTTATATTCTCAGGAAAATTCTCCATGATTATGAGATTTCAATTAGCTTAGCATCTCCTTGTACTACAAAAGGGGTAAAAAGAGTATCAATTCACTATACCTTCTTGGAGTTGTTTAGGAGAGTGGTTTTTAGCATTATTAGTCAGGAGCATTCGCCTTAACAGGGCATCAGTCCCTGTGATTTCTTCTTCACAGATCCAGTCATCCACAATACACAAATGTGGGTAGTTAGTTGCAAGGAGACGTAGTAAAGCTGAATGCAACCCTTGAAAATTTACAGGAAATCAACTGGATTTTCCATTCTTAAACACCGGAAGCTTCCCCACCCCTCTCATTTTTATCAAGCTAATGGCCCACAAGGAAAGAAGGTTAGGCTCTAAATCAATGTTTCTCAAAGTAAGATTAGTGCACCACTAGCACCAGAAACTTGGGAAGCTTGTTTCATGGCAGAACAGTAAATGCCATCCCAGAAGACTACATCAGAAGCTCTGAAATGCAGCGCTAGGAAGGAGCACGTCTTGTATACGTGTGTATAGTAGATTGGGCAAGGGAATCTGCTTAAATAAAGAGCTCTAAGTAATATGATACACAGTGAGCTGGGAATGACTAATGTCAAACATTCTCGAGCTTTCTTCTACCCCATCCCAGCAGAACAGTCTCCCATCAGGAAAAGTTATTTGACAGAGCAGTGGTTCAAGAATTGAGAGGAGAGGAAAGAAAAATAGAGGGAAATCATACGTGGTATGAAAGGCTCTGCACAGAAATACTGATAGGCTACTGTAGAGAATAAGCCCTTTCCTCTAAGCCCACTGAGAATCATTGCCACTAAAGGATAAAATTAAAGTTGCCCACTTTTATGTTTAAAAAGCCTCAGGTGCTTTATGTACATTTTCTCATTTCACCCTAACATTCCTACAAAGTAAGCAATAAAGTCTCCATTCTACATAAGGAACCAAACAGGCTGAAAGATGTTTATTAACAATACTAAAGTCACACAACTAAGCATATCAGCCAAGAGAAGCAGTATTGGTCATACCCACAAAAGGGTTTGTTTTTCCTCATTCAAGGGTTAAGGAAGATCAAAAGAAATGGAAAGCATTCCTTTTACCAAATCAAAGCCCTATTTCCAATATTTTGCCTATAGCATGATTTGACTATTATGTGTAATATTAATAATGACAAATAAATCAATAATAAGATCATTAAAATGCCTATTTAGTTATACTAAGTATTACTATGCTAAGTGCTTCACATATAAGTAGCTAATAAATATTGTTGCTGGCTGGGCTCGGTGGCTCAGCCTGTATTCCCAGCGCTTTGGGAGGCCGAGGTGAGTGGATTGCCTGAGCCTGTTGGGTTTGAGACCCACCTGGGGAACTTGGCAAGACCTCATCTCTATAATAAATCAAAATTAGCTGGGCGTGGTAGCGCGTGCCTGTAGTTCCAGCTACTTAGAAGGCTGAGGTGGAAGGATCGCTGGAGCCCAGCAGGTCGAGGCTGCAGTGGCCGGGAGCGGCCACTGTGCTCCAGTCTGGGTAACAGAGTAAGATTCCAACTCAAAATATATATATATATATATTGTTGCTACTACAGTATTATTACTATCATCTTCATCATCATCAGAGTAGTAGTAAAAATCAAAGTACTTCAGATTCAATCATCCCCTTATTCTGCAATTTAGATCAAATCATACTTCTGCCTAGTCACAGAGGAATGAGATCTGTTTCCTTTCTCATAAAAACAGCTTACAATTGGTGTTTCTATGTTTGAAAAGACATTGTAATAATCAAAAGTGGTATTATCTTAAAGTTTAAATTTCTAAATGAACACAGGAACATATGTACATTTAAAACCATACCCAATAGTCACAAAAAAGACTGCTTACAGAAATACAAATTAAGCTACATTTCATACTCTTCTCAATAAAACATGCTAATTGCCAGATGCAGCCAAATATAACATCATTCCTTTAGAAATAGATTATAAAAAGATATAAGTGAGTGCAGACATTTGGTTAATGATGACCAATGAAGGCTCATGTTTTCTTTGAAACCAACCATAACAAAAGAGGAAGAAAATTCCACCTTCAAATAAAGAAAAACATCCACGCTCAAACATTATAAGAGGTGTTCAATTAAGAAAAATATCTAATTTTTAAAAATACTACTATATTTTTATTTAATAGTATTTACAGTAAAAATTTTACAGTATATCCATAAAATGGAATATTATAAAGTAATTCAAGACAATAAGGTATGGCCAGGCATGGCGACTCATGCCTGTAATCCCCGTAGTTTAGGAGGCCGAGGTGGGAGAATTGCTTGAGTCCAGGAGTTTGAGACCAGCTTGGGCAACATAGTGAGACCTCATCTCTACAAAAAATACAAAAATTAGTAGCATGTGGTGGCATGTGCCTCTAGTCCCAGTTACTTGGGAGGCTGAGGCAGAAGGATCATCTGAGCCTAGGAGGTCGAGGCTGTGGTGAGTTGTGACTGTGCCACTGCACTCAAGCCTGGGCAACAGAGTGAGGCCCCAACTCAAGAAAAAAAAAAAAAAAGACAATAAGTTAGAACGACATGTACTGATATGAAAAGTTGTTCAAGGCTCCAAGAAAAAAAGCAAGTCTTAGAAAAGGCTATCATAATTTTTAAAAATTCTGTGTGTATGTTTATCTATTAAGTTCAACCATATGAAATTACTGTAGGTCAAAATTAGTCGAATATCTCCAATTTTATATGGTTCAACCTGTGAGGAAAAAAAAAGTCTGAAAATACACACCAAACTGAAAATAGCTGGGAGTTTTTGAGGAGCAAGGGGTGGTTTGCAGTAAGTAAAATGATTGAGTGGGGAAGGCAAAGAGGACTTTCCTGAATTGTTTTAATTTTTAACATTGAGCATCTATTATACTTTACAATATTATAAACAGTACAGTATTTTTTAACAATAAATTTTAGTAGTAAAAAGCAAATAAAACAAATACCTCCCAACTCTTGCTGCAGTCCTTGAGCCTGTCGAATAAGGAATTTGATTGGAATCTGATCCATTAAAGAAGAAGAATATGATTTGGGCTTTCTTTGCATGGCAGCTGTCAGTCAAAGATAAAAAGTTTAAAATAAAGTATCAGAAACAACAGAAATGTTAACCTTCAACCCAAATGGGAACAAAAACAACGTCATATTACTTTTAACTCACTTAATCTGTGAATGTTAGCACATAAAGGATGAAGAAACACTACCAAAATGTGGCTACACCAGAAGAACAAGAACATACCTAAGGGCAAGATTTGGAAAATGCCCTGAAATTGAAACTAATGAGGAGAAAAATAATAATAGTAGAGAGAGGCCATGTACAGAAATACTCTACACTAAAAGAACCAATAAGTGAGTCAAGACTTTTCCAAATCTAAATAGGAAGTTCAAATGCAGTCATGAACACAAGGCTTAGAGCTTCATAATTACAATGTTATATTGTAAAAAAAAGTCTATATATATAACTTAATCATGTTATATATGATAGTGGTGACTGACTCTTTTTAAAAGAAATCAGGCAATATGATAGCCAAACCCTGGTTCCAACACTTACTACTTAGGGGAGTTACTTAACTTCCCTGTGCCTCAGTGTTCTCTGCAAAATAAAGATAACAATTGCCAAGCATGGTGGGTAACTCCTGTAATCCCAGCACTTTGGGAGGTGGAGGTGAGAGGATTGCCTAAACCCTGCGTTTTGAGACCAGCCTAGGCAACCTGGCGAGACCTCAACTCTACAATAAATCAAAAAATTAGCCAGGTGTGGTGATGCACACCTGTAGTTTCAGCTACTTGGAAGACTGAGGCAGAAGGATCACCTGAGCCCGGCAGGTCAAGGCTGCGGTGGCCAAGAACATGCCACTGCACTCCAGCCTGGGAGGTAGAGTGAGACTCCAACTCAAAAAATGAAAAAATAAAAAAAGTAAAAAGATAACCTAACTTACAGAATTGTTGTGAGAGTTTCAATTAGTTAACACCTGTAAAGTGCTTCATTAGTGTCTGGAACACAGCAAGTACTCAAATGTTAACTAGTATTATTAAGACCTAGAGTTCTCAAAACCATCTTAAGGTGAAGTACCAATATTTAAGTTTCTGGACCTAAGACACTAAAGACAAAATCCTAAATAAATTTTAATGATTCTATCAAAGAACTAGTATCCCATGAAGGCTCACCTAAAGCAACTGTTTAACATCTCAGTGAAATCATCAAGGATATTCTTAATCCTTCAGTGAAAGACTAAACTATAATTATGAAAGGCCTAGCCGGGCTCGGTGGCTCAGCCTGTAATCCTGCACCTTTGGGAGGCTGAGGTGAGTGGATTGCCTGGGCAACTTGGCAAGACCTCATCTCTACAATAAAATCAAAAGTGAGCTGAGTGTGGTAGCGCGCGCCTGTAGTTCCAGCTACTTGGAAGGCTGAGACGGAAGGATTCCTGGAGCCCAGCAGGTAGAGGCTGCGGTGGCCGGGAGCGGCCACTGCACTCCAGTCTGGGCGACAGAGTGAGACTCCAACTCAAAAAAAAAAAAAAAAAAATTTATGAAAGGCCTATGAGAAGATCATTGGTCTTATACATATAACATGAGTAATCACATTTCCAAATTTCTTCCAGTGTATAGCTTTCAAAAGTTCAAATCTAACATTTAACCTCATCCTCAGAAAAACTATAGAAATGTTTTGAATACTATTTACATTGCCCTTTGTTGTTTTTGTAGCATGTTAATCCTTCAAAAGATGGAAAAACTTCCTAATTCATTTGTGAAATTAGCATAAGTCTAATACCAAAGCCCAAAACAAAGAAAAAAGGGGAAAAAAAGTTCAATTTTACTTGCTTAAACACATGAAAAAAATCATAATTAAAAAACGATCAGGGTCTGGCGCAGTGGCTCATGTCTATAATTCCAGCACTGTGGAAGGCTGAAGAAAGAGGATCATCATTTGAGGCCAGGGGTTCAAGACCAGCCTGGGGAACAAAGCAAAACTCCCATCTCTACAAAAATAAAAAAATTAGACAAGCATGGTGGTGTGAGCCTGTAGTCCTAGCTGCTCAGGAAGCTGAGGTGGGAGGATCACTTGAGCCCAATAGTTGAGGCTACAGTGAGCTATGATCACACCAATGTACTCCAGCCTGGGTGACAGAGCAAGACTGTCTCTAAAAAAAAATAAAATAAAATCTAGCACCATACCAAAATAATAAATAATGTGGACAGGCACAGTGACTCAAGCCTGTAAACCCAGCACTTTGGGAGGACTGCCTGAGCTCAGGGGTTCAAGACCAGCCCAGGCAACTTGGTGAGACCTCATCTCTACAATAAATCAAAAAATAAGCTGGGCATGGTAGCACACGCCTGTAGTTGTAGCTGCTTGAAAGGCTAAGGGAGAAGGATCACCAGAGCCCAGCAGGTCGAGGCTGTGTGGTGGCTGTGAGTGTGCCACTGCAGTCCAACCTGGGCAACAAAGTAAGACTCTGACTCGAAAAAAAAAAAGGAACAAATAATGTACCAAGAGTAAGTAGGATCCATTCCAAGAATATCAAGATATTAATTATAAAATGAATTATATAAATAGACCAAACACATTATCTCTGCCAAAAATGTTTACTTGATAATTTTTTTTTTTTTGAGTTGGAATCTCACTCAGTTGCCCAGACTGGAGTGTAGTGGCCACTCCCGGCCACAGCAGCCTCGCCTACTGGGTTCCACCGATCCTTCCGCCTCAGCCTTCCGAGTAGCCGGAATTACAGGCATGCGCTACCACGCCTGGCTGATTTTTTTGATTTATTGTAGAGATGAGGTCTCGCTGCCCAGACGGGTCTCGAACCCGCGGGCTCAGGCAATCCACTCACTTCAGCCTCCCAAAGGCGCGGGATTACAGCCTGAGCCAGATAGGCTAACAATAAAAGAAACTCAGAGCTTGGCTAATGCAAACTAAAGGTCAATATCTTTTCTATAACCAGCAATAACTTGTTAAAAGATAACATAGAACTATAAAATTTTATTAACAGACATAAAAAATAACTGGAATAAAATCACTTGTGTCAGCAAATATTTATTAAGTGCGTTCTATGTACCAAGTAATATCCTAGATGCTAGAGATATGATAGTAACAAAAAATCAGCCTTCATGAGCCTTACAGTTTAGCTAAAATGTAAAATATAAAATACTTATATTTCATTAAAAGGCAAAACTTATTTTATGCTCCTAGATGGGAAGACTTAACACTGCAAAGATTTAAGTTTTCTCAAAGTTAATTTATAACCTTATTACAATTCTTATCAAAATCTCAATGTAATTTTATTTTGTAGAACTTAACAAATTATTACAAATTTCATGCAAACGATTAAATATGTTAGAATAGACAGAAGTCCTGAACAAGAACAATACTGGCAAAAGGCACAAGAAATGAAAAGCATAAAAAAGGAAATCCAGAAGCAAACATAGGTTTGTAAAAAAAACTTAGATATACATAAAAGCTTCCAAAGCAATAAGAAAAGGACAGGTATGTAATGTTGACAAATAACCAACTATGAAAAAATTAAACTAGATCTGTGTCACATACTTTACATCAAAATTAATTCCAGGCATACTTAAATTGTTTTAATGAATCAATAATGTCCTAAAAGAAAATATAGGTGGTTAGTTACATGATGTTAGTACTCTGTTATGAAAGACTTTCCTCTTCATAATATTCTACAATTTAAAAACACCATAAAAAAGCAGTAACACTCAAAACTGTGAAATATGGGGAAATTGGCATTCATATCCTATGCAAATGTGAAAGTCTAAACTGGTGTAACATTATCTGGAAGGCAATATGGCAACTCAGTTTTTCAATCTTAATACTTTTTCACAATCCTCTTTTTTTCGTTTTCTTTTTTTTTTAATTGGAGTCTCACTCTGTCACCCAGGCTGGAGAGCAGTGGCACACTCACAGCTACCGAAGCCTCGATCTCCTGGGCATGATGATACTTCTGCCTCAGTCTTCCAAGTAGGTGGGACTACAGGTATGTACCACCACACCTGGCTGATTATGTAGTTAGCTAGTCACTTAGTTATTGTAGAGATGAGGTCTCACCATGTTGCCCAGGCTCATCTGGAACTTCTGGGCTCAGGCAATTCTCTTGGCTTAGCCTCCCACAATGTTGGGATTACAGGCATGAGCCACCGTGCCCGGGTTTTTTCACAATCTTTAACTTAGTAGTTCTACATCTAGGAATCTGTCCTAAGGAAAGAAGTAAGCATGACTGTGTATAGAGTTAGTTCTAAGAATATTCATTCCTCCAATGTTTATAATAGCAAAATTTGGGAATAATGTAAATGTCCAACAATAAAGAATTTGCTAAACAAGTAATGGTACCGATTTATGATGAAATATTATGCCATTATTGGAGATCATGTTTTAGAAAAAAAAAATTACTATAACAGGCAAATGTTTCAAATGTATTATTAACAAGGAAGGGGAGATTAAAGAAATTTTATGATTTCAACTTTTTGAAAGCTATCATATATGCAAAGACTGAAGGGTTTTCTAGCAAACTTCTAATGGTAATTACCTCCAAGCAGTCAAATTATGATTGGTTTATACGTTGTTCTTGGTTCTTTTCTCATTTCCTAAATTCTCTCCAGTAAACTCACTTTTAATAAATGATTTTAATCTAAAAACCAGCTGTTTTAAATAAAGGAAGACACGTAAACACTTAGGTAAATAATAAGTTTAAAATTATTAAACTTGGCTAGGCATGGTGGCTCACACCTGTAATTCGAGCACCTTGGGGAGGCTAAGATGGAAGGATTATTTGAGCCCAGGAGTTCAAGACCAGCCTGGGCAACATGGCAAAACCATATCTCTACAAAAAAAAAATCAAAAAATTAGCCTGCATGGTGGCATGCACCTGTAGTCCCAGCTACTCAGTAGGCTGAGGTAGAAGGATTGCTGGAGCCCAGGAGGTCAAGGCTGCTGTGAGGCGTGATCATGCCACTGCACTCTAGCCTATGTAAAAAAGTGAGAACACAACTCAAAAAAAAAAAAGAAAAAAAGAAAACTTACTCTACAATACAGTCATATAACTATTAGAACCCTTTTTTGCCAAGACTTGATTTAACTATAGGTTTTACAGCTCTGAAACTTCAAGCTGTTGAGAAATAACATCTACCAATGTTTGCTTAAAAGTTTCTGTATTTTGAAAGAGGCAGATGGAGCAACTTTCTTCTCAGAAAAAAAATAATTAACCATCAAGTACAAAGAAAAATTTCAAGTTCAGGAATTTGGAGCCAGAGAACATAACGGTTTCCCGAGTACCACAAGATGTGTCTTGTTCTGCTGGTGACCAAGAAGGAAATTTCACACATCGCAGAAGGACAGAAGCAGAAAAAAGGCCAGACTTTGTTTATAAATGAAGTGAAACTTGAAATTGAGTTAAACAAGAAATGCTTTTAGCTGCTAAAGAGCAAGATTGTGTTTACTGACTATTATAGAAACTGATAAATAGTTCCTTTTATATATAATTTTAATTACTATTGTCTGTAACTTCAAAAGTACCTAAAAATAAACTGTATTGCCTAGCAATCAAGTTTTCAGATGTAATAAAAAATAAGCAATTTTTTTAAAGTATAAAAATTTGAAATGCCATGATATATTGTTCATGTTGCAATTGAATAGTAGTACACAGGGATTATATCATTCTTTATTTCTTACACATATTATTTTGGACCAGTACTTAACTAAATCAATGTTTAACTATAATTCATATACATACATACATGTATTATAAATATTTTTAAATAAACCAAGACTATATATAACGGCTATGATGTTCTAATACTTAGCTCTACCTCAAATTTCAGAATTCCCTATTTGAGCTTCTGCAGCTACCCAGTGGCTCCTAATAAAGTTTATTATAAGGACCAAAACCATAAAACAGTCAGCAAAGTGCTGAAACTGCAATACAATTTCACAAGCAGGAATAAATTTGAGGCAGAATAACAACATTTTTGGCTGTGAAAAAGCAAAACTCTCTCATGCCATGACATATCCTGCAGTTATTTATTCCTCTTGAAGATAAACTAGACTAGAAAAATCATCTCTGCCGGGCTCGGTGGCTCAGCCTGTAATCCCGCGCCTTTGGGAGGCTGAGGTGAATGGATTGCCTGAGCCCGCAGGTTCGAGACCCGCCTGGGCAGCGAGACCTCATCTCTACAATAAATCAAAAAATCAGCCAGGCGTGGTAGCGCATGCCTGTAATTCCGGCTACTTGGAAGGCTGAGGCAGAAGGATCGCCGGAGCCCAGCAGGTCGAGGCTGCGGTGGCCGGGAACGGCCACTGCACTCCAGTCTGGGTGATAGAGTGAGACTCCAACTCAAAAAAAAAAAAGAAAAATCATCTCCTAAACTCAGGGGAAAACTTCTTCAAGGAAGAAAGGTCAATCCCTTCCTTTGTCCTCTATACACCATTTCTCCCACCTATCAAGGACATCATTCCAGAGACTGTCCCCGTCCTGTATCATCAATCCTTTCCTCTAAAATAACTAGATTATTCCCAACAGCATACACACATTCTCTTATCTCTATAATTTAAAAAAAAGTCCTATGTTGTCCCCATTTTGTCTCCATTTACCATAGTTTTCTCCTTCTCTTTACAACTCCTCCTCAAAAAAGCTTGTCTCTACTCATTATCTGCAGCATATCTTCTCTTTTTGGTTCACTGTAATCAGGCTTTCATCCTACCAGTGAAACCCCAAAGGTCAAACAACCTCTTACAAGCTATGTACAGTCATCAGCTGAGCCTCAGTTCTAGTCTTTCTCTATATCAAGACTAATTGACATAGGAAGTCACTAACTCCTCTTTGACATGTTCTTTTGGCATCTAGGCACCATATCCTCCTGGTTTTCCTTCTACACTCCATCCCCTGGTGATCTTGCTTAATTTCATGATTTTGAGTATCATATATATGCTAAAGTGTCTCAGAGCTTCCTCTAAAATCCAGGCTTGTATACACAACTGCCTACTTAGCATTCCCGCTTGAAAATCTAACAGACATCACAACATTTCCAAAACTAACTCCTGATTCCCCATAAGCCTGGTCCTTCTCCAGGCTCTCTTTTATTTCAACTGATAACCATTCCATCCTTTATGCTCAAGCCAAAAGCGTCTGAATTAACCTTCGCTCCTCCTCTCAGATTTAATTCATAAAAATAAAAACTAAGTTGTATCCTGGCCCCCAACTATAGTATTAATGATCTCAACTAAATAACTCATTCCTATACTACCTACTCATTAAATCACAAGGGTCACACTCTTCAACAGAATGCATTGTCTATATGTGGATAAAAGTGGGAGACCAGGCTGGGCATGGAGGCTCAAATCTGTAATCCCAAAACTTTGGGAGGCTGAGGTGGGAGAATCATTTCAGTCTAAGAGTTTGAGATCAGCCTGACCAACACAGAGAGACCCTATTTTGACAAAAAAATGTTTTAAAATTAGCCAGGCAAGGTAGCATGGACCTGTAATCCTAGCTACCAGGGAGACAAAAATGGGAAGATTGCTTGAGTCCTGGAGTTCAAGGTCACAGTGAGTTATGATCACCACTGCACTCCAGCCTGGGCATCAGAGCAAAACCTGTCTCTAAATAAATAAATAATAAAATAAAGTAAAATAAATTTTAAAATTTAAGAGTAGGAGACTGTTACTTAATGCTTATTATTGACTCATCTTTTCCCTAATATGACAAAGACTGTAAGTGATGTCATAGAATATCATCTGTATAATCCTAAAAACTGTCATCAGGAAAAGAAGCAGCTGAGAAAGTCACTGTATATTCAAAATATAATACTTCACATAAATAAAAATAAACTAATCTGCCAAACATCAAAAAATGACTTTAATTTACAACTTTTCAAAAAGTATAATCACCCAGTTATGGCAAAATAATCACTCTTACAAGAATTTCCCCTATATTATACACTAAATTCCTATAGTTTTTTAATGACATTCTTTGTTTCAAGTATAAATAAATAATTAAAAGCTATATTTAGTAAGCCTAAATACAGGTAAAATGTTTTCCAAATATAGGAAAATATACTATATATTGTTATTTTTGCAGGCTAAATCTGACAGTATATGAAATAGCTAAGTTACAAAGCCTAGTTCAGTGGTAATTTTCATGGCAAAAAGAAACTCCTTTTTTTTCTATTGTTTTTGCTTAGCTTGCTACTCTTTATACCAATGGAAGAAGACAGTGCAAAGACTGAAATCAAGCAAAAGAATTAAACTACAGCTCCTTCATGTTTATCTCTTAATTTATAGTTAGTGAATAAAGGATATAAAACTGTTAAAATACAGTCAATTCAGACATCTATTAACTTAGCCTGTTAAAAAGAGGACTGAGCTATAAGAGGCTGTTATGTGACCACATATGCATGATTTAGGTATCAAGTATACAATGCCTACATTACAAAGATTATAAAAATGATACTGAATTTATTAGAATACTAGTCTCATTTTATTGCATTTAACAGTTTGGAAAGTAATCCAATATAAACAAATAAAATGAACTACTTGCCTATGCACAACTTACCTAGACTCTTTGTGTTTGCTAGGAGAGCTTCCTCATATGATAGGATATAGTAGAGCACCAAAAGCTGGGCTGTGATACTGAAACGCTGGTTAAGGCGGATGTTGTCACCCTGAAGGTAATATTATAAACACTTTAGAATACCGACTTTTGATATAACATAAAATGTGGTTATGCTTACGTAGGAAACATGGGAGAAAAGGAAGAGAGAAAGATGGTGTGAAAAAGTGAAACCAGCCGGGCTCGGTGGCTCAGTCTGTAATCCTGCGCCTTTGGGAGGCTGAGGTGAGTGGATTGCCTGAGCCCGTGGGTTCGAGACCCGCCTGGGAAGCGAGACCTCATCTCTACAATAAATAAAAAAACCAGCCGGGCATGGTAGCGCATGCCTGCAATTCTGGCTACTCGGAAGGCTGAGGTGGAAGGATCGCCAGAGCCCAGCAGGTAGAGGCTGCAGTGGCTGGAAGCGGCCACTGCACTCCAGTCTGGGCGACAGAGTGAGACTCCAACTCAAAAAAAAAAAAAAAGAAAGGTAACGTGTAAGTAGTCTTTAAGATGGGCCCAAAAAAAAAAAAAAAAAAAAGACTTCAGCTACTCCTCCATAGCAAACCCATCAGGCTGCTTCCAAAAGACTTTCAGGAGCCTCAAGTATTATCTGAAATTACAAGGAGGAAAAGAATTCTTATAAAAGATGTCTTAGCCGGGCTCGGTGGCTCAGCCTGTAATCCCGCGCCTTTGGGAGGCTGAGGTGAGTGGATTGCCTGAGCCCGCGGGTTCGAGACCCGCCTGGGCAGTGAGACCTCATCTCTACAATAAATCAAAAAATTAGCCGGGCGTGGTAGCGCGCGCCTGTAATTCCGGCTACTCGGAAGGCTGAGGCGGAAGGATCGCCAGAGCCCAGCAGGTCGAGGCTGCGGTGGCCGGGAGCGGCCACTGCACTCCAGTCTGGGCGACAGAGTGAGACTCCAACTCAAAAAAAAAAAAAGATGTCTTATATGTAACTATATTTGTGGAAAAATGCCACTGCTTATCCCTTCTAACAAAAAAGGGAAAACAGATTTTTATGAAATTCTCCATAAATGAGTCTAGATATATCTTAAATTCTCAGGAAGCTAAACAAAGCTATGCTGAATGTGTTGAATTCTCACCTAGCACTTTGTCAAACACACAATCTCCAGGCAGCCTTTAGACTTAAAAAAAAAGTTTCCCACAAATGCCATTTGACTATTTGGAACTAATAATTCTTTAAATTTTTATAGGTGAGGAGATCTAAGGAAATTTAATCTCATTTTAAATTCAGAACCACCTAGAAAAAAAAATATATGAAATAAGTGGAAAAACAAGCAAAGAGAAAAATAAGTTAATAGATATAAAAGAACCACTATTTTACCCCAATGACTCCTTGGAAAATATTGAGTATCTCCTGTTCTGTGACTGGCTGATTTGTGGCTTCTGGATTAGATTTGGATGCAGGAGTAAGTATAGAGTTTATGTACACATCAATCAGAGGAAGTAGTTGAGGATGGAGTGGAGTGGAGGTTTCACACAGCTGTCTATAAATCCAATCCTAAAAAAGAAGGTTATAGGCACTGCATCAATTATGGCAAAAAGAAAAAGCAGCACAATTATAAAAGCACATACAGTTTTACGTGATTTATGAATCAGTGAAACTTACTATTAGTTTCTGGTGGTTCCAAATATATTATCTAGTATCATAATTATCTTTGATTTTAAAATATGAACTATATATCTTAATCAAAAATATTATCCAGTGGAAAATGAACCTAAAATGATAGGAAGATTGGCTTTAGGTTTAATCTTTTAGTTTTTAAGTAGTGGGAAAAACACTTTAAGTTCCTGCCATATCTGTACTTAGAGCACTATGTGTGTTGTCATGGAAGACCTTACAGCAGAGAAGAATCTGGGGAGAGGGACAAGTCTTTCACAGCAAACCCTCAAGAGAAACGAAGAAAGTGTCTTTGACAAGCACTTATAGGAGGCTATTACTTAACCACCTTTGGATATAGAACATGTAAAAATGTTGGATGTGCATTTGGACTCTTAATTCTTAGCTATTTTACTTGCTAAAAATATAAGGACCAGGCACAGTGGCTCAAGTCTTTAATCCCAGCACTTTGGTATGCTGAGGTGAGAAGAATGCCTGAGCCAAGAGGTTTGAGACCAGACTGGGCAACTTGATGAGACCTCATCTCTACAATAAATAAAAAAATTAACTGGGCATGGTGTCACATGCCTGTAGCTCCAGCTCCTTTGAAGGCTGAGGCAGAAGGATCACCTGAGCCCAGCAGGTCAAAACTGAGGTGGCCATGAGCGTGCCACTGCACTGCAGCCTGGGCAACAGAGTGAGGCTCCAACTCAAAATATAAAAGGAAGCAGAAGATGCAATCTAATGGAAAATAATTTCACTAAATCATATAAAAACGGAGAACATAAAGTGATATATTATGCATATATTATTCACTGCTCTTTGTAAGTACATAAATAAATAAGCCTCTAGAAAAGGTTCAAACAGATTTCTTTACCTCCTTGGTTTCAACCTTTTCTTTAGAGGACCTTTCAATTGTTTGACATTGCCAACTAAAATTTAAAAGTATATCAAAATATGTGTAAGTTAGGTGTTAACTGTCCTTGTGACGAATCTACAAATAGTAGTTATGGCTGTCCAGCAACTTTCCCAATTTGGTGAATGAAACCAAAATTTAGAAAACGACAATTTCTAAGTTTTAATGGAATAACCATGTGCTATTATTGAAAATTTAAATGAACTGGCAATATTATACATTTTGTAAATAACAATTATATTGTTTCAAAAACCCAAAAATTAGGTTACTAACTGTGATAACTATATAAATGACTAGTAACTTAGTTTTTTTTGTTGTTTTTTTGTTTTTTTTTTTTGAGTTGGAGTCTCACTCTGTCACCCAGACTGGAGTGCAGTGGCCACTCCCGGCCACCGCAGCCTCGACCTGCTGGGCTCCGGGGATCCTTCTGCCTCAGTCATCCAGGTAGCTGGAACTACAGGCGCACGCTACCACACCCGGCTCATTTTGATTTATTGTAGAGATGAAGTCTCGCCAAGTTGCCCAGGCGGGTCTCAAACCCGCGGGCTCAGGCAATCCACTCACCTCAGCCTCCCAAAAGCGCAGGATTACAGGCTGAGCCACCGAGCCCAGCTGTAACTTAGTTTATTAACACACTTTTCATACACGAAAACCAGAGTTAAAGCCTACTAACTGGGAAAAAGTATTAATTTAGGATTGTTTTTGAAATATAAATCTAAGGTCATACTTTTATTGACACTTTGTGCTTGGTAAAGGAACGACTCCTGAGAAGCTGGTAAATACAATGAATAGGCAAAAACCCTGTAATGTTGGCACTGAGGTTGCTGGTGACAGGAACACGAACTGCATGAGCTGTGACAACCTAAAAGAGGAAAATAGTATTAGTAACATGACAGAACAAAACATAGTTATTTTGAAAGAGGGAGGATTAGTAGGTATACTGTCAATACAAGTGCGGTCCCTAGAAATAAATGATGAAAAACAATTACATGTTTCAATTATTTTTGGATGAAGAGGAAAACAGACACATTGATATTTATGAAATCTTCCATTTTTATCTATTTTTATTTTTTTATTTTTTGAGTTGCAGTCTCACTCTGTCACCCAGACTGGAGTGCAGTGGACGCTCTCGGCCACCGCAGCCTCGACCTGCTGGGCTCCAGGGATCCTTCCACCTCAGCCTTCCAAGTAGCTGGAACTACAGGTGCACGCTACCACACCCGGCTAATTTTTTTTATTTATTGTAGAGATGAGGTCTCGCCAAGTTTCCCAGGCAGGGTCAAACCCGTGGGCTCAGGCAATCCACTCAGCTCAGCCTCCCAAAGCACGGGATTATAGGCTAAGCCACCAAGCCTGGCTCATTTTTATCTATTTTTAAATACAGATATGTACACAGCAGTGTGATAAGGTAAAAAAATACAAAATTTGAAATTGTACAACATGACCTCAGTGACTTTGAAGAAATCACTTATCTGCCAAATCTATTTTTATATCTACAAAACAGGAGGCTTATCCATATCTGCTCAAAGGGCTGTTGTGAGGGAGAAAAAAAATTTTTTTTAAACATTATATGAATTATAATGTACCAATTAAAAGTAAATGAGAATTTGTATCCTCAATGTGTCATGTATAGACCTCTAATTGTCTTTCTCCTCAAAACTTCCAGGTGGTTCAAATTTAAAGACAAAATACAATTTGTAAATTTCCTTTGTCCTATATGTGAATGTGTATGTGTGTTTAGGTGGGGAGGGAAAGTATGATGTAAAAATAAGAATATTAATTACTATAAAAGAAGCAACAATTATAGATCCTTGAGTATTTTCTTGAATATTCCATTTTTTAAGACACATTTTTGTTTTGTATTTTAAGATTTAAATTGACAAGTGAGTCTGGGAATTAATTTTAAATTTTAAAGTTGACTCCACTGAAAAATAAAATATCCCTAGGCTTATCCATGGACAAAAGGACTAAGGCCAAATAAGAACATGTCAATATTAAGAATAAGAAATATAGACTCTGGTCTCTAATCTAATTAGACATAAATCTTACAGCCTAAAGGTTTAAATAGGTCTTTATCTTATTTTTCTCCTAATACATTCAAATAATTAGGAGTTTCCTACTATCAATATGTAAGACTATACCCATCAGTATCAACTCAAAGTCTCTAAAGATATATAAATTTAAAGCATGTTTTGTTATGTAATAAGTAGCTTTAAAAGTACTTTAAATGGATTATTTCTTTACAGAAGCTTCAAAGATTAATTAAATCATCATTAGAAATTGAAAAGGAATGGACAGAGACTATATTATTCTCTTAAGATAAGATATACAAGTTTTCTCCCAAAAGATATTGTAAAAGAAAATTAAATAAGTACCTAAGAATAAAAAGAAATACCTGCTCAGTGAAAATTTCCTGTGTGAAGATAGTCTTCATCCTGCTCAAGGAACTTGGTTTAATTACAATCTAAAATAACCAGAAGAATTCCAACAGTTATATAAAAATATAATATATGAAAAACAATGTATTCTGGTGAAGTTATTATCTAAAATGGTTGTGGTATATAATATTTATGCTCACGTACTCTACTCTGTTTCAGAAGAGGCTTCTCAAACTCAACATTAAAGTATGTTTTTTCCTCAGAAACAGAACCAACATGAAAAGTACTTAGTAAATATTATTTCTGACATTTTTAAGTCAGTGGGCAGAAATGGATTATTTAATAAATGGAGTTAGGATAGCTAACTCTGTGAAAGCAGGAGGAATAGATATATATATTTGTAGACATGATACCATATACCATAATAAATTCCAAGCAGGCTAAAGAGTTAAATATAAAACATGAAACTGCAAAAACACTGGAAGAAAAATATAGTGACCATTTACAGAAACACAGAAAGGAAAATATTCTAAGCCCAACAGTAAAATACAGGCACAAAAGAATATTCTACATAAAAATAATAATAATTTCCTTGTGGCAAAGTTAAATGGCAAGAAAAAAATCAACGCAACATATTGAATTTCTCTACTTTTAAATATGTTACAGATTGTAAGATATATCACTAACTAATAGGTGCTTTTCAAAAAAGAAGGGGTTGGAACACTGCCACATTCATATTATATGTTAACTGTTAAAATGAATCCTAATTTGAATATTTGAGAAAATATGTCTGGAAATCAATGAAATATATAAGAAATAATGAGACCAGGTTTGATGGCTCATGCCTATAATCCCAGGACATTGGGAGACCAAGGTGGGAGGACCACTTGAGGCCAGTAGTTCAAGACCAGCTTGAGCAACATAGGGAGAATATACCTCTACAAAAAATAAAAACTAAAATAAGGAATAATGGCATATCTTTTGTGCCTTTTAAATCCATGAAAGAAAAAATAAACAAAAATCCCTACAGAAAAATGGAGACACTGATAAGACAAAACACATGGTCTTTAAAAAAAAAATTTTTTTTTAGGTAAAAAAAAACTATATACTCTCACGAGTAACCAAAGAAATGAAAAATAAGTAAAACCATTTTTCATCAATCAAATTTACAATAAATCACAAAAACTAGCTGGGCGTGGTGACATGCATCTGTAGTTCCAGCAATTTGGAAGGCTAAGGCAGAAGGATCACCTGAGCCCAGCAGGCTAAGGCTGTGGTGGCCCAGGCCACTGCACTCCAGCCTGGATGACAAGAGTGAAACTCCAACTCAAAAAATAAAAAAATTGCAAAGATGAAAAAGAGGAACAATGTTTAATAATGCTGAAAGTTTCAGAAAATAGGAATTCTCATTCACTAATGAGAACAATTAAACTGGCATAATCTTTCTAAAAGATAACCTGGGCCGGGCGCGGTGGCTTAGCCTGTAATCCCTTCACTTTGGGAGGCCGAGGCAAGTGGATTGCTTGAGTGTGCAGATTTGAGACCAGCCCAGGCAATTTAGTGAGACCTCGTCTCTATGATAAATAAAAAATTATCCAGGTGTGGTAGTGTGTGCCTATAGCTCCGGCTACTTGGAAGGCTGAGGTGGAAGGATCGCCAGAGCCCAGCGGGTTGAGGCTGCGGTGGCTGTGAGTGTGCCACTGCACTCCAGCCTGGGCAACAGAATGAGACTCGAACTCAAAAAAATTTAAACAATAAAAAATAAAAGATAATCTGGTAATCTTCATAAAATACCTTAGTGAAATCATACTCTTTGACTTAGCAAATACTTTACAGAACTTTAGCCTAAGGAAATAATGCAACAATTGTATGAAGATATAGATGTGTAAGTGTCTGTATATTTACATAAATGGGAATATTCACATAAGCATTATGTAGAAATTGGAAAATCGGCATGGGAAATAATTTAAAAACTCATTCAAATGATCGTAATCAGTACAAATGATGAACTGATATGCAGCCACTAAAAATTATATTGTATTAAAATATTGATAGGAAAAATGTTCATCATACGTTAGCAAGTTTTTTTTTTGAGTTGTAATCTCACTCTGTCACCCAGGCTTGAGTGCAGTGGCACACTCACAGCTACTGCAGCTTCAACCTGCTGGGCTCTGGTGATCCTTCTACCTCAGCCTTCCAAGTAGCTGGAACTATAGGCGCACACTACCACACCCAGATAATTTTTGATTCATTGTAGAGAGGAGGTCTCACCAAGTTGCCCAGGCTGGTCTCGAACCCACAGGCTCCAAGCAAATACACTTGCCTCGGCCTCCCAAAGTGCTGGGATAATAGGCTGAGCCATCGAGCCCAGACAGAAATTTTTTCAAAATTACAAAATATATATGCCACTTTCTTTTTTTTT